CTTACAGCGTTTGGACCTTGTCGATTAACATTAAACATCCCGATACTGTTTTCTACTGCAATATGAATAATAATTCAATATTTGTAGTATTAATAACATTTTCCTTTTTTATTTAAGTATACATAGCGGGTTTTAAGTATCCACCGTTGTTGCAAATTTTTTCGAACATCGTGTAATTACTTTTGAGTGTCTTAGTTTAGCAAAAATATAGAAGCTTTTATTTGAGCTGAGTTCATATTATTATATAATTTATATTTTTAACTATAAATTATAATATAAAGTCATCTAATGACTTTGATGTTGGCAACATATTCTATAACTACAGTATGAATGAAGCCATAGATAGCACAATAAAAAAGAAGTTGTACCGACTAACATATAGACACATACTAGTATATTTAAGCTATGTATTTTTTAATTAAATGAAGTATGTAGGAAAAATAAAAAATATGTTTTAAAAACCTTATCATGATCGCACTTGTATGTATAATAACTATATCGGTGACACGTTTTGGTCCACAACTTCGTCTGCGTGAGTATTATGTTTTGGTTGTAAAGTATTGTAGGTGGCTTGTTTCATCGGCGTGTTACACATAATGGAAATTGAATCCTGAAAGACCGTACCAAAATCAAAGGTTGGTAGGTAGGAAAAGATTGTAGGAAAATATTATTTACGATATACCTAGCAATAATTTCATTTTCAAAACCAAAATTAGCCAAACCGTTTCTTTCTTGAGTTAATAACCAATTTGTTAACTAACTTATTTTAATTTAATTGAATTATAATAAAAAAAATATTTAATTGCATACAAACAAATGAATACACAAAAAAAGTATACAATCTTTTTCCAACGGGTAGCAAAATAACATTTAATGTGTGTACGGTCAAAACTCATTGTAATTCTCATATTTTATAAAAAGGTCAGCTTCGTTGTTTGAAAATGAGAAGATTTAGAAACATCAAAAGTAAAAAGTTTCCAAAGTGTCTCATATATTTTGACAAATTCCCTTTTCTCTTTGTTATGTTTTACGACACTGAAAGTAATTTCCAACAACTTGTGACGTGTCGTTGGAAATTTAAGTTAATATTAAAATGCTGTACACTTCTTACATGTCACGAAATATGACATATGTATATCATAATGTAAAACTTCTGAACGATAAAAGTAGAAACTGTTGCTCTATTTATATTCTAAAATCATAACACTAATTATTCTTTAATTATATATAAAATAATTGTTCGGAAACATACAATTATATATATATATATATATATATATATATATATATATATATATATATATATATATATATATATATATATATATATATATATGTGTGTATGCGTGTGTGTGTGTGTGTGTGTGTATTGCTTAAGTATTATTATATTTGACTTTTTATATTTGACTTGACATTTTTTATATTTGACTTGAACGCCAAACATAAGTTACTTACTCTGAATAACAGTTTTAATATTTTCATTTATTTTTAACATAAAAACATCCAGGATAATGAAAAAGTTGTTCATAACTAAAGAAAATTGGATTGTAAGATGTTTTGAAAACAATCATTATCAATGTTGTTTTAAGAATTTCTCATGTGCTGTTGGTTGCAGAATTTTCAAAAATATCCTACCGAAACATCATATATGATGTTCCATTCTAGTCAAGTAAATTCTAAGTTAATTTAATGAAAATAATACTTTCTTATAACAAACTTAATGTGTTAATATAAACAATTAATTGGTGCATATTTGTGTATTTATATGAATTGAAAAGTGACGATTTTATTGAAATGTCATTTTTAACTGCCTCAAAGGCTCTACTATTAAACAACAAATTTTTGAATTAATTTAATATACCCGAGAACACATGTCAATAATAAATTTCTGTTAATAAAGAAAGTCATCCATGGGTAAGACAACAGTTTTGCAAAACTTAGTAAAGCGGTCGTGGACATGTTAACAGTGTGAAAAAAATATATATTTAAATTTACTTTGTTGAATGTTAGGTATATTAAAATAATAAAAGCTAAAAATAAACGTTATTAAAAGAAAACAGACTTGTTTCTAAATTAAATTTTTCACATTGTTTGACTTATAAAAAACTATATGAATTATTAAAGAATAAAATATTAAGACTGTATCTCCACAACAACATTGTCTTCTATTTAACGAACACCACTCTATGGACGACTTATCGTTGTTCAACTTCGTCTCTCGTGTACATTTGTTATGATCGATGAATAGGTACTGCTGGCATTAGGATGTTGTGGATATATTTAAACCAAAACCAGTAATGTACGCTTTCCGAACGGAATACATTTATCTCAAAAAAAATATTTACTATAGTTCTTAATGGAGAGGAAATTCATTATCAAAAACTGAAATTAATTAACAAGGTAATGAGATCTATGTATCTATCTATTTTAGCGAGTATTCATATGAAAGTAATATTGTTCGGATTATTACGCGTAATTTATTATTGTAAGAACTACATACTCTCGACGTTTCGGTTATTTTTCAGCAATCGTGACCACGGGGAGATGACATTTCAGCTGAGACGTAATTAAAAAACAAGGTCTAAAATATCCTACGTCTCATTCTTTCAAGTTTTCAAATTTGAATTAAAAAAGAAACATTAAGGAAAATTAATTCATTATTGATAAATTCCGTTATTTTATAGTATAGATAAAAAAAATAGATATTTACAAAACACATTGTAGCATTTTTCACCATTCATTATCATTTTTTGAGGTCCCGCCTACCCCGCGTGAGGGTTCGGGTTCGAACCTGGCCCTGGCAAGTATCAATGTGATTTTTCCGAGTCATATGTACTTTCTGAGAGTATTTAGACATCACTGATTAATTCATTCCCAAAGAGGGCTAATGTCAGGCAGGCGGCCGGTCGTAAAAACAATTAGTCAAAACTATTCACAACATGTAAGGCAGACCCTGGCTTCACCCGCGATTGCTTTACATGTTTGAGAATTGTTATTGAAATAAGAAACAAACAAAAACAGAACTTTTCTTTTCATAAGATCGGTATAAAAATATTTTTTTGAAATTTATTACTTTTGTTTACAAAAAAGACGTTTCATTTTTCTAGAATCAAGTTAGTTATTTATTTTCCATACATTTTAAACTATTGTTATAAAATCTGCAGCTTGTTGTGCTGGTGGAGGTAAAGTTAAAAAAAATGTGGTAGAAGTTTTTTAAATTAAACAATTCAACTGTTATAATTGCCGAGATTAAAATGAAAGCTATAACCACTTACAAATCACTGTTTTAAAACCAATTACAAGGTCTTAATAAAATCTTTGATTAATTTTTGCTTTAAGTGTTTTTGTCAACATTTTAATTCAACGATTTAATGGTTAATTATAAATAAGAAACATATATAAAAGGTGCACAAAAAATTCTTTAAAAATTTAACAGTCGCTTAAAAAAACGAAAAAATTATTTTTATTAAAACTTTTCTTTATTGAGATATGCTCGTGATTTTAATTTAGTACAAATATTAATAGATTAAATAGTTTGTTCCGTGCATAAATTTTCAAACTATCAGATTATCTTTGTCCACGACCGATTACAGAATTACCAAACAAAACCTGAATACAAATGACCAGTTCATAAAGTAAGTACAATTAAGCGAAATATTCAGATTACATATAAACTTTGTTTATCAATAAAGTTTATGAGAATTACTTAGATATTTTATCTACTGGGGTGGCCTTTTAATAATAGTGAAGCACTTATAATTGGTACTACCCATATTTCTCAACTTTGAATAACTTGAAAGTTACAACTTCCGAGAATCTCGGTTAGGGACGAGGAGACATTGTTATGGTCTTCTTAAACAAATCTTAATCAATGTTTTATAACTTCGCATTATCAAACAACCCACTTGAGCCACCATGATTACTAATTAATTGATTCATAATAATATCCTAACATAATATAACAAATAAATTATTCCTTATGCCTCTTATTAAGCTGAAAAACTATAGCAGCGCTTTGTACTAGTTTTGTTATACTCCACCCACAATGGATGTTGCCTGTGAAGCAGCTCACTCCTAAAACGTTCAACCGAAAAATTTCGATTCTAGAATCTTTGAATTACTATTTTACTACTTTTAATTGATAGTCAGCTACAGAAAAAGACAGTGAAGTTCGCAATGATATGAGTTGAAAGCTAAAGTTCGTATCAATAATCAGACCGTATCATTGTACTGGTGTAAATATTGTCGGTTTAACAAATACGACTGATAACAAAATTTTCGAATTTTGCTTTATTTAACTATCATGTTTCCTTAAATACTTTCACCACTATTAAAATACACGATTTCTTACTAATTTACTTATATTATAAACAAACAAGGGTAGGTAGGGTAGGCCAGGTTTTATACGAGTATCACATACTTTTCAACCGTTGGAACTGCTATGGTTAAAACTAGTTTTTTAAAATTTGTTTTTAATATTGGAACTGTAAAAAATATTACACGAAAAATCCAAATAAGAAAAACAATATAGTCCAAATTTAATAAAAACTTAAGTATTCCATGGATTTTTTTTCTGTGGCTGATAATTATAACTTTGTTTATTAAAATTGAACACAAAATCTTTATCGAGATATAAATAATTCAAACCAAAGAAGCTAGAGTTTTGTCCAATGACCTTTACATGTTATTTGACCTTCACACTTATTTCATGATGTTTCAAGTGGTTTTGTGGAAATTAACAGCTCAAGCTTCACTATTAATTTGACAAAAATTAAATCCAAAATATAATTATATATATGAGTATGAGAGTGTAGCAAAGACTCAAACTACATATGTATAAGCATCTGTTTTTCGTTCGTAACTCGCGTTGATGTGGTAGATTAGTCATTAGTAATATTTTCTGTATTCAAATCTTTGGTTTGTGTTATACATAATCAGATTTAATTTCACACAAAGTTCAAATTCAAATCAAGATAATTGTAAGTTAGTGCGTCAACTCGTTATAAGTGTGTGTGTGACTGACCTGGAGGTTCCTTGGTAGTGAGATGGTCCGAGCCCGCACTGGATCCACCGCTGCCTGATAACACACTCTCCTCACGATTGTAGCTGTAATTTAATGAAACACTTATATATATTAGCTTTTAATTGTGATTTCATCTGCGTTACTTTAAGAATTAGTAATGTATAGCTGACCGGGCAAACTGTATTCTGCCCTAGCTGCCATAAATAACCTAGATATTGGAATTTATTTAAAAAATTTCTTGCTCAATTGAATTAAATTAAATTAATTTGTCCATGTACTGGTTCTAAACTATCTCTCTACCAATTTTCAACCATATTGATACAGCAGTTCTTGAGTTATAAAAAGTGTAATTAACACAACTTAATTTGAAACACCAACCCGTCTTGAGAGAGCGTGGTGATTAATGCTCTAACCTTCTTCATGTGATCAGAGGCTTCTCAGCTGTGGGCTCTGATAGACTGCTGCTAATGATGATGATGATGATATATTCATATATATATATATATATATATATATATATATATATATATATATATATATATATATATATATATATATGTTGTAACACTCACCCGTACACCGTGTGCTCGCTGGTCAAACAAGAGCTGTACTTGAATGGTATTGGTTGGTAGCCGTAGAAGCCAGCGTATGGCATGTAGCCCGGACCCATCATGCTGGAATTAACATTTATTTTATATATATAAATAATACATAAAACTGCTGTAACATGAGCGATAGTGTAATATATGTATAATATACTAGTTAGAGGTTCATAGATATTGGTTGAGACATTTCAGAGATTCTTCGGATTATAAATGCACATGTATATTATGGATTTCTGTTGTTTTACATATAACTAACAAGTAGTATTTGAAACAATATATATTGGCACTATATATCAGTTCAATCTTCATATATCATTTAACTCACCAGAGTCCGGCCTCAGCATAGTTCTGACCACGATGGCCATATCCATTCCTATGGACGGCTGGGGCTCCGCTAGCGACCCCGTGTCCGAGGCTCACTCCGGGAAGGAGGCCGGGACCGATGACAAAGGGGGAGGGGGTTAGGACTCGCGTAGGGCCTGCGTTTGAACCACCCATGCACCTGGAAGTATTATTAAAACTAAGTTAAGAAGTAATCTGTATATACAGGGTGACTGGTGAATTACTATCAATATTTAAAGAGAATATTCGGTACATTATTCTCATTCGAATTATGTAAAAAAAATAGGTACTTAATTTTTGACCAAATTTCCGTATAAATAAATAAAGTGTGGACACGTTCCAAGTGTTCCAAGTGTGGACGCGTGCGGCGGCGTGCTGATACAACACTACGCCGTAATCTGTAGGATGTTCATACGATGCGTAATTAATTACATAACTTTTGGTTAACTTTACTTCGAACTCTATTAATATTTATGTTATTTTAATTTTTATTTTGTCATATATGATCGTCAAATATCACGTCCTCAAGTATCGATAGTAATTCACCAGTCACCCTGTATAAGAAAATCGTGTTAGTTAGACTATTTATAACTCAAGAACGGCTGTACGGGTTTGGATGAAAATTGTCGGAGAGATAACTTAGAATAAGTAGACAGAGATAGGATATTTAATTATGTTAAATCAAAAAAGAGAAAAAAATATATAAATCCAATATATACATAAATTATAAACATCAAAATAAAGATAATATTTCATACATTATTATATATTTCATACATTATTATGTATTTCATTTATGAAGATTTATTATACATAAGAAATGTTTTGGGTATACTGTACAAGGTATATATATGTATATATATGTGGAGATTTATGTTAATCGTTAATCGTTTCCGTTGCAGCAACATACAAACATCGGTACACTAATCAAAATTCTACATTTTACCTTTCAATAGCATTTCTACTTTCCATAATCCAATTTTAAGCAAGTTGACCCATTCCAATATTATATTACATGCGAAATTAGTTTCAAATAACTGATATTAAAAAAACTTTTAATTTAATAGGGTGTACCACAAAAAATCTGAAATTACCATTTGATAATTAATTTCATAACAATTATCATAAACAGTTACTCAAAAATTATGTTATAAAGATTTATTTAACCGCTTCTAAGGAAAGCCATTTCATATATAAAACACGGTAATTTGGTATCTTTTCACCATCATTTAGTGACAAGACGATAGTCAACTTGGAATAAAATACTTTGTTTCGTAACGACATTAAATATCTAGTTGATAAAATATATAACAATATAATAAAACAAAAAATATATATTTACGTTTATTTTGAAACCACTACAAACATATTTCTTAGAACATAATGTAGCTTCAGATTATGATAAATCAAGAACTTTTATAACCCACTGAATAAGTTAAATTATTAAAATTCAACAACCTTGTAACAAAGGATAATTTATTTCAAAATATTAAAATGAGATATTTACCATACTAAACGAGAGTAAATTTGACAACATGACCTTTTTTAAATCATGTTACTGAAGACGAAAGTGTCTCGCATATTTTGTAAATTTAAGTTGTTATTGAACTGATAGCGATTCTTTTCACTTGATTTTAAAATTTAAGATATAACAATTTGTATGCTAAATTATATTATATTTCAAGGGTTGCTAAATTGTAAACTTAAAATAACTTTCATGGAAATTATTCCAAAAATATCAAACTTAATACAGGTTAAAGAATATTTCCACTATGATTTACAAGTGTGACCAAAAGCAGAAATGATCAAAGTTGAATAAACAGACATGGATTTTAATTTCAATGTATTATTTTTCGACCTTATAATATAATATGACCACTGAAATAATTCATTTCATTCAAAAAATTGTTTCCATTGAGAGCCGTAGTTGGAAGGATTATTTCATTTAAGGTGTATAAATTTATGTTTCATTTACTTTTAATTAAATGATAAGCTGGACCAGTACTTTGTAGTTTTAGAATAACTTAAATTTGGCTTTCGTCCAATAAATCTTTGGCTTTGTTAAATTAAAATTTAATAACTTCATCCTTTGCTAGTGTTATAAAAACTTAAACAGGATTTTAAAATAAAAAATATATGTTAATAAATTTAATTCATTACAAATCGCTTAATTGATACTAAGTCTACGGATACTACGCATTTTTGTTATTTCACGACGGGTAGACAGGATGATAGTGCGCGCGATTATTGTTGCTGTAAAGGAACCAAAATTTCAGGATTATAAGGATATAAAATAAGAAAAATGTACATAGTATATGAATAAACCATATTTCATAACAATGAATACACGCTAAAATCTTAAATATCATTAAAAATAGCTTCTTCTTTCGGAACGAATTTCAACTAAGTTTGTATGAAAATCCCGCGATATGATCTCTTAAATAAAGATTCTTATACAATCTTTATTAACAAATGCTTTGTTGAAAAACAAAAGCACTTCCGTATTTCTATATTATAAGAATATGTGACTTTGTATCTACTACTGAATGTTGTTTTACCGCTATCTATGTGCAGCGTCTGAGTACATATCTCTTTTTATTAAGTAAAATAGTAAGCTGAGTATCATATAAGAATGATTAATTTAGACAAACACAGTTCTAGATGTTCCAATATACATATATAAAAGATATTTACATTACAATGAGGTCGATCTGATTTGTTCAGGGATAAAAAAGGCTTCTTATTGAATTATATATTTCTATATTACTTACAATATAATAAGTTGATGTTTCTTGTTTCCCCATTTACTACAATCACGAGCGTTTTTTATACTCTACATAACTTTTGACCTTGGCTATAAATTACACAATGAAGAAAATAAAATTTGGTCTATCAAAAACATATTTGGAACTATTCATTTTCAAATTTCAATAAAAAGGAAATTACTTTTTAAATTTTCAACTTCAATGTATCGCTACTAGATTTTTATCTCTATACTCGCTTTATTGAATTTATTTTATGACAACAATATATTTTTCAATTTTTTTCCACTATCACGTAATAATCTTTTGTTAACTTTTTATGATCAACCGTGACACTGTTAAATATTGAGTAAATTTCTTTATTGTACATTATGAAAAATATTTAATATATTTGGACTAATTTATAGATATTTTTATTGATACCAAATAATTTACTAAAAGTGATTTATTCATAAATTACGAAGTATTTATTGATTTAAATATATATTTCCCATTAGATGAGCCATTTATGTGAGTTATTACTTGCCACATGACTTACTTAAATATATCAGGCTGAGCCTGTGCTCAAGATTGTAAGATTGTTCTTAACAGATGTTTCGGAGTTGTAACAAATCAGCCTCGACGCATGCTACGATGGAAGTAGTGTTGTGAATAATATAAATATCGATATTTAATTGTGTCATATAATCTATTCGTAATATACAAAAGGAAGAAAAAATCTGTTGATTAAAAAAACATATTAATAAGATGCGGTCCTTGAATCAGAAAGAAGCTATGAATAAATTAAAACGTGACATTTGAGATTGACACCTTAATTTTAGGGGAATAACTTTTTTCATTGCTGCGGCCGATCGTTCCTGTTTTGAATGACGTTTTTCATTTTGGGACTAAAGTTAACTAAATGTACATTCACAGACTAGTATTTTATTTCTTTTATCTAATCCTTTCTTCACTTTATAAAATAAAATTTAGTCTATATTAAAAATCTTCCTTTGGTTATGACACTGAAATCCACTCGCATAAATTCTATGTTATCATACACGTCATATAGAAAATTATATTTTATTACTGACAAAAGAAATAGAATGAGCAAAGAAACATAGATTAATAAGTTAATATTAGAATCCTTTATCATTTTCGAAATTTATATAAAATATTCAATGTCTATATATATAACTGAGAATGTTAAATGAAAGATTTAAAATACGTTGTTAGTCACATTGTGTATTTTTTATTGCAGAATGTTTTTTTTTTGTATTTAATTTGCTGTTGAATTGATGAAGTAACATCTTTTACATTATATATAAATATAAAATGCATTAGAAAAATAAATAAAGTCATTTTTAACATAATGATTGAATAAAACATAAATATCTGGAATATTCAGATTTCAAGAGATAACAGTTGCCGAATTTGTTACTCGTTTTATTCCTCTTTGGAATCAATTTTGTGTGCCACAAAAATCTTTTAGCCACGAACAAAAAATACGCTGACAGTGAATAAGATTGTTTTGAATTAATGAAGTGCATGGATTTTTGATAACTTTATTATTAAATGGAGGAGATGTCTTGAAAATTAAACTACACTTGTTAGAGAATCACAGAGAGAGAATTTATTCAACTGTCACACAGATTATATTTACATGTAGAATATACATATTATGTAGATTAATATCAAAGGCTAAATTTAATAATTAGTTTAACACTCCTGCCAAATTTGAGCCTTTCATGTACCAAGTTAATTACAGAAGTAAAATAAAATTACTTAATTACATTAACATTACACAACATATCCATAGGTAACATTCCAATTTGGTCTCTCATATATTGAAATTTGTCCCTAGGTAAAGCCTTTGTTAGAAAATCAGCAAGTTGATTGCATGTTGAAACATATTTAAGATCAATAACTTTAGCATAAAACTTTTCCTTAATAAAATGATATTTAGTGTCAATATGTTTACACCTCTTATGAAAATTTACATTTTTAATAACACTTATTGCACTTTGATTGTCTATATTTATCATTACTATTTGTTGCTGAAATTCACCAAGATCACATAATAATTGTTTAATCCAGATGGCTTCTTTGGTGGCAGCACAGGCCGCCATAAATTCTGCTTCCGTAGTTGATAGAGCGACAGTGTGTTGCCTTTGACTGCTCCATGTTACAGCAGCTCCACATTTGATAAAAATGTATCCCGTTGTTGATCTTCTGGTAGTGATGTCATTAGCATAATCAGCATCACTGTAGCCTACTAATTCAGAAGGCTGAGCTGACAGGTAGCACAGACCATAGTTGATAGTGTCTTTGAGATACTTAAGAATCTTCTTGACAGCTGTCCAGTGAGTTTCATTGTAACAATTCAAAAATTTACTTACTAAGCTAACAGCAAAC